ACACGTGTTTTTAATGATATATAATAATTGATAATGTATTATATATGTTAATATATTTAGCATATAGAAAAAAACCAATTTAACAGTAGGTAATAAATAATAAATATACAATATTAATAGAAGATATTAGTCTCACATTCCAGTCTTAGATAATATAATAACATAATAAATTATAATAATTTGTATAAGGTTATAAATATATTAATCAATTAGATGTCTATTTTGATACAAAAAAACTAACGTGTTTACATTTTCTGGGAGTAAGCAGCTCCTTTTTGGTGTAACAATATTTCCGGCAGTTGAAAAACATCTTTCAGAGCTGACTGATGTAGCTGGTATTGTGAGATATTTCTTCGCACATTCGGAAATGATTGGATACTTGATTGTTCTTGTATTCCACCACTCAAAAGGATCCAAATCAAATCTTAGTTGAGATTCAGCCAGATAACCTTGTAATTGTATTTTTGGATCATTCATATCGATCATTTCGTCACCGTATAGGAACTCCATGGCACTTGTATGTGAATTTTTTGTATGTTCCGTAACTGAAACCTGTGGATAATTAGTTTCAAGTATATTTTGCAACTCTTTTCGAATATCATCTCTTGAATCAAGTGACTCATGTTCTAAGTCCTTATACCTTGGATCGAGTAAAGAAGATATTTGACTTAGGTTTACAGTACTTGAGGATGTCCATTCGAGATTAAAACGGGTTTTTATTTGTGTTATAAGTGATTGCTTGAAATATATTTCAATATCATCTTCAGTGTCATTTATTGATAAATGTTTTTCTATTACTTTTTGTAGTAATGGTCTGACCATTGAAACGGGAGAATGCTTTTCATCACAAAATAGTTGCGTTATTATTTGTAGTGGTTTGAGTTTTTTGATAAGAAATTCTACCCTAGCCCATTGGCTCTCTGTAATTTCAAACTTTTGTGCCATAGTTGCACTTGTAATAGTTCGATCAGCTATGACGTTAGCTAATGGAGATCGATTAAGGTATAGACGTTCTAACATCATGAAGGTAGAATTCCAACGTGTCTTACAGTATTGAATCAAAGCCGTTTTTGCCATACCAAGCTGCTCTTGTTTAATTTCTAATGATCGTTTCGCTATATTTGAATGTTTAAAATGAGAAACAAGTTTACTACATTTTTCAACTAATAATTGAATACTATCTTGTCTTAGCGAATGGTTAATAGTAAGTTGAAGTGAATGAGCTGCACATGTTACACTGCTAATGTTTGTATCGCTAGATATTAATGAAATGGCATTAACAATGTTCCTAGCATTGTCGGTGACAACAGCTATGACTTTACTGTTAACTTCCCATTCATTAAATGTATTGCCCAATTGAATCGCTAGATTCTCAGCTGTATGGCGTTCTTCCATTTCATGCGTGCTAAGGGTGTAAGAGCTAACGTTCCAATGTTAATCAATTGTATGTGCAGTTACGGTAATATATGAATCCTGAGATAACGAAGACCAGCCGTCAGTTGTACAAACGATACTTTTTGTCTGATGTAGATTTTCCCTTATTTTTGTTTCAACTAACTTTTTTAATCTATTTATTCTAGCTTTCATTGCTTCTTGCTTACAAACTTTATAATTGGGCTCAACGACAGCCATAAAATTTTTGAATCCTATGTTCGAACAAAATGAAATTGGTAGTTGATTCATTGATATTAATTTTGCTAATGATTCATGAATCAGTTCTCTTCGTTCGTTACTGCACGCAAATTTAGATTTTTGAACTTTCAATACATTAGGTCTTTTGCGTTTTCGACTAACTGGTGACTTATGTTCAACATTTGAGTTAACTGGACCTTCCACTTCACTTATGCCATCAGAGTCATCATTTTCTGCGAAATCGGAAGATGAAGGTAAAGGTAATGTAGAGGTGCAGGTCGATGAACTTGAAGTTGATGAACTTAAATCACAAATTTTATAATTTTTCGAATTAATTGATTTAAATTTTTTGGCTGAAGAGTGCACGAAAAGTATACTCAAGATTCATCATACGTTGTACAGTACAACTTGTATTTATATAATAATATACACGTCGTATGAGTAATATATTGTTTTCAAATAATAAAATTATTCCGTTTGAGATAATTAAGAAAATGGAGAAAAAAATTGAGCGTAAATTTTTGATTGTTTTTTATTAGCGTCTAAAGTTAGAAATTTGAAAAAATACGTAAAATGCGTGATACGTATTTTTTTTGGTTTGAGTCTAAAATTTGAAAATTTAATATGAGATTCTCCATAAGTTTTTCTACCATTCTAACAAAAAACATTTTTACCGTAAGTCAAACTAAATTTTTATGAGCGTTTGAACACTTTGAACTTGGAAGTAAGACATTGGGTGTTCCCCCGTTTTTTCCGTGCACGAATTTCTTATTTTGATGTAATTCAAAAATAAATTATCGCAGACATTTTAAAATTTCACCAATTGTTAAGATAACCATTTTATACACACCAAAAAAATTTTAAAATAATTTGACAAGTTTTCGGCTAATTGTAGGCCTAAGAAATTTTCGGTTTTTCCAATTTTTTTTTTTTTTTAAATATCGGCATAGATAACGTAATACCGTACGAAACATCGCAACCCGGGAGCGTTACTCCAAACACCAAATCTATTTCGCACTAAATTGACGCGCCCGATAACACTTTTTCGAATCGAACATCAGATCAACACCTCAAACATTTTGAAGACCATTTTGAGGGCTCCCCAATCATTATAATAGAATCCACTGATAACAGCACCACGAATGGCTCCTGGCACCCACTGAAATGGGCCAAATTTTTGTGTAATAACTTTTTTGGTATTAATTGCATTAAACTAAATGGTCACGGAAAAGTCAAAGTCTCTTTCGACTCGATTTTCCACGCTAACACATGTCTTGACTCACCACTACTCTCCGCACACAATTTGTCAGCTTACATTCCTTCCACTTTAATTTTTACGCACGGAATTATTAAATTAGACACACGTTTTCCAGAAGAGGAGTTTAGAGAAGGTTTAAATTGCTGCGTTCCGGTCATCGAATTTAAACGGATATCGTCTAATAGAGACGGAATACGTACCCCAACTCGTATAGTTAAACTTAAATTTTTGTCACCAAAAATTCCCCCTAACCTTTCCATTTTCAACATGCTTTTCGACGTGTCTCCTAGTATTCGCTCGCCTTTACAATGTAATAACTGCTTGCGTTTTGGTCACACCTCAAAATTCTGCCGGAGCAGCCCTAGATGTAGCCAATGTGGCGACAACAAACATTCCATATCAACCTGCCCTTCAGTCCAAGCCACGAACCCATGCTGCCTTTTCTGCCAAGGATCCCACCTCGCCACGGACCGGAGCTGCCAGGAATGGGACTTTCAACGAGACGTCAAAAAGATCATGGCCACCGAAAATTTATCCTTCAAAGACGCAATCAACTTTAAAAAACGCAATCAGGTTTCTTCCGCTTTTAGCTTTTCTAATATTGTAAATAAGCAGCCCACTGTATCTCCACCGATTATTCCTTCCTCTCCCACTCACCGATCCTCTTCTCCTTCCTCCCGCCAAACTCCTCTTTCGCACTCTCTACAACTCACTTCCTTCCCTACTTTACCCTCCAATAACTCGCATAAGTTACTCAAGAAACCAAGAAATCGTTCTCCATTCCGCGCCGCAAACTATCCCAACATTCCTACACAAAATAATTTCTCGTTACCAAATGGTTCCTTTTTAAGGTACGCCTCTAATAACACGTCCAATTCAGAAACTTCTCCCCAAAATACCGATTTTACATGGATAAATACGCTTGCGCTCAAGTTATCCGAGTCGCTATTAAACTCCCCTAATCTATCTTCCTATACCGCTACCTCTCTTCAAAACATAATTGAGTCTTCCATTCTTTCTCTGTTAGCCGTCCCCAATTTTTCTTCTCTCGCTTAATCTATTAATATCAAGTCACAATCTATCATCTTGTTAATTTTTATCTTTATTTTTATTTCTACCAACCCAATGAATACCCTTAACATATTACAATGGAATGTCCGTAGTCTTCCGGCTCGTGGCCCATCGGTCCAACATTTATTAGCTTCATCTAAATGTTCTGTTACACTAATTTCTGAAACCTGGCTTTCTCCTTCCCGCAATTTCCACATACCTCATTTCAATATTTTCAGAGCCGATCGACTGGACGGTTATGGTGGCACTGCCATATCAACCCATTCCTCCCTAAAAGTACGGCCAATCGAACTAAATCCATATCTCCAACGAGTCTTCTCCATCAATAAAATTGACATTGTAGGTATTGAGGTTTTAAACATCAAAAATCACCCTTCCATTTCGTTCTGGTCTTGCTACATCCCAGGGGATTCTATTATTTCCTTGGATGTATGGGATTCTCTATTTAAATTGGGAACGAATAACTTCTTCTTTGGTGGCGACTTCAGTGCTCATCATCCAGCTTGGGGGTCCACTTACACTTCACGTCGTGGCAATATCATTTATGACACCATTAATTCGCTAGGTCTTAGTGTTTTAAACACAGGCACATCTACCCATCTAGGTAGACCCAACAGCCCAAATTCGGCCATCGATATATCCTTTTCATCTCCAAATCTAATCTGGTCTACTACATGGCATACCTTGACTGACCCCCACGGTAGCGATCATTTCCCCATCATCATCTCCTTCAATTATAATACGCACAACCGTGGCTATCCATCAATTTTACAAGACACTCCATCCCCCACGTTACAATTTAATTTAAACCGAGCCGACTGGAATCAATTCTCTCAAACAACTAGTTATAATATCTCTCCCATTGAAGCCACAATTTGTCCCCTGGATGCGTACAATCAGTTTTGTTAACTAATTTAAACCGCATCCAAACAATCCATTTTACATAAAAATCAAACTAAGGAAAATTTTGCTCCTTCGCCTCCTTGGTGGGATTCCAATTGTACTCAAGCTGTCAAACTACGTAAACGTCTCTTTAAAATTTACCGTCGCTCAGGATCTCCATCGAATTACTATAACTACAATAATTCATGCGCTGCAACAACCCGTCTACTAAAAAACAAAAAGAGAATTGCTTGGAAACAATTCTGTTCAAATCTTAACCCATCATCCTCTTTACAAGACCTTTGGAAAACAGCCAAACGTTTTCGTAAGTGTATTCAGCCCTCTACTCATACTCTCAACAATGACTGGTTTGAAGACTTTTGCGCCAAAGTTGCCTCTTATTATGTACCATCTGAATCTGAATCATCTCCTAGCCTCATAGAGTTATCTACCATTTCTCCGCCTGATCACTGTCTCAACCTGCCTCTCACACAGGATGAACTATTCGCAGCAATTAACTCTTCGGAAATCAATCGCTTCGGGATTAGATAACATCTCTCCTCTGATGTTAAAACATTTACCCGCGGCTGCCACAGAGCTTCTCCTTTCTATTCTCAATAAATTAATTTCATCAAACCAAATCCCATCATCTTGGACGGAATTTAAAGTTATTCCCATTCCTAAAGCTCACACCACCAATTCCTTTCGCCCAATCGCATTATCGTCTGCGTTATGTAAAACAGTTAAACACATTTTTAAAAACAGACTCGATTGGTGGTTAGAAACCAATTCTATGTTACCAGACAACCTATTTGCCTTTAGACGTGGTAGGGGAACAAGTGACTGTCTCGCTAGGTTTATCGGTCAGACCTATCAATCCTTTAATAATAAAGAATATTTCGAATCCACTTTCATAAATATCCGTGGGGCATTTGATTTTGTTCACATTCCCTCATTAATTTCTCATTTAAAATCGTTAAACATACCATCTTTGTTCATAAACTTCATATCTCTCCTTTTTTCAGATAGAAAATTACATTTCCGTTCCTCCTTTGGATCCACCAATATTCGTTCCACATCAACGGGCTTGCCCCAGGGTAGTTGCTTGAGCCCCATCTTATTTAATTTGTATATGAGTTTTATCATCAAGCACTTAAATACTTTAGGTCACAACTGTCTCGTCTACGCTGATGACATTGTTATCTTCTCACATAATAGATCTATTGACGTTGCAGTCACTTCCATGAACATTACCTTAGATTCTCTACAAAATGCTTTGAATTCCTCCTTCTTCTCCATTGCTCATAATATATGCAAAGCCGTTATATTTACCAGGCGCCGTCTAAATAATTTTCCTGATATCACAATTAAGGATTTCATAATTCCCATAGTCACGAATCACACATATCTAGGTCTAAAGTTAGACTCCAAACTCAGGTGGGCACCACACGTTAATGATCTTACCAAATTCTGCGCTCGCTGGGCTAACTTTATTAGATCGGTGGCTAACGTAAGGTGGGGCTCCCATCCTACCTCCTTATTATTAATCTACAAATCAGTCATCCGTTCAAAATTAGATTATGGTTGCTTCTTTTCAGGCTCATCCGCCCTTTCTCACCGCAATAAGATTCAAAAACTGCAAACATCATGCCTTAGACCTATCCTCGGAGCCCTAAAATCTACTCCTTCCGCCGCCATCGATATTGAAGCGATCTGTCAACCACTTGAGCTCAGATGCAAACTGCTGGCTGGAAAATTTCATTTGAGAGATTTGTCTAAGCGCACTCCGTGCATTTTTAACACTTTCATCGACGTCTTTTTTGCCTGGCGCTATGTCAATAGATCAGTCCCCGTTCTTGCTTCAGTTGCTCATTCTCTCTCGACTACTAAAAATTATATTCTTACCTCTAACAAATTGCCTCTCTACGAAGCAGACTTTTCTTCGTTAGTTCTCGCTCCTATAATAAATTGTAATAAAAACTTCCTTGGTCATTCTATAGATTTTCTTAAATCCTCTCCTTCCAATCTGGTCAATGGTCTTTTTCAGGATCACATTCACCAAACCTTTCCCCTTTTCATCTTAATTTACACAGACGGTTCGGTCTCCCCTATCTCGGCCGGGTACTCTTTTTTCATTCAATGAAAAATTCATTTCAATTACACATTTCCTTTACCAACAACCTCCCATCAACAGCTTCTTCATACACAGCTGAATGCTTTGCTATCATCGAGGCGCTCAAACTTATATCCACACTACCACCCAATAAATTTATTATCGCTACCGACTCACTCTTATGCCTACAATCCCTCTCTTCTAATGTCTTCAACTCACTACCTAGTCCTTTAATCTTTTCGATCAGGAACCTTCTTCTTACCCTCTCTAACTCGGGTTTTGTAATTCAGTTTCTCTGGGTTCCAGGCCATACAGGTATATTAGGCAATGAAATCGCGAATTCTTTGTCCAAAACCACTGCGCTCATTCAATTTCCAGCTAGTAATTTGATTCCTTGGTCGGACTTCTGTCCCATTCTCAAATCCTGTGTCAATCGTCTATGGACTAACTCCTTCAGAAATCTACCTCCCAACTATGCCATTTGGTACAGAAATATAAACACCAGCATTCCATCCAAGCCGTGGTTCTACAGTCTAAACTTATCTCGTAAAGTAATTAGTTCTTTTTCCCGCCTTCGTTTCGGCCACTCTTTACTATCCTCACATTCCTTCAAATTATCCTTAAACGACTCGCCTCTCTGTATTTTTCCTCACATTCCAGCGGTCTGTGATTTTAATCACATTTTGTTTGAATGCCCCTTCTTGTCGGCTGAGCGTTCTCTCTTCTTCTCTCTCCTCCACGCTCTCAACATAACTCCCGATGCTCGCCATATACTTTCCTCTCAGTCTGTTACCGCCGTTACCGCCACAGTTTCGTTCTTTCTTAATTCTGGGTTGCTTATATAATCTACTTATAGCATGTACACATAATTGTCGAAATTAATTGTAAACTACAAATTTCAATAAAAAAAAAAATAAAAAAATACTATAGTGTACGCCTGTGTACTACTGTTACATTTTTTTTTCTATATTCTAAATTTATTAACATTTATAAATTGTTATACATTATAAATTATTATAGAACATTAAATACACGTGTTATATTAAATACACGGTTAAATACACGTGTACTTAAATACACGTCTACCCGTGTACCCGTGTATTTCAAATACCCGTAGGAAATCGTAAGCCCTACTATGGACACCCAAATCTTCTTTCCCTTTACTTGATTTCGTATGTTGTTCATTGTGTCTTCATAACATTCATTGACATATTTTTTTCTTAATAATGAAACCGAAGGTATATCTTTACTAGTATATTTTTCAAGAAACAAACGAACATGTTTATTTTCCAATTTTTCCAAAGGGATATTTGCTAGGAGAAATGTGTTGCATAAATCTTTTGCGAACATGGATTTTTCCGGTATATTGGGCAATAATTGCTGAGATTTTGATTTATTTTCAATTTTTCTATTAACAGCTCGGATGTGTTTATCTGTTTTCAGATGTTGTGTGACAGTAAAGTGCTTTACACTATTGACTTTAATCTCACATACTTTACAAAAAAGAATTCCCCCGTCAGATGCAAAAATATTTTCTCCAAATTCCGCTACATATTTACGAACAGACGATTGTACTTTTGACATTTTAATAAAATAATAAGAAACACACAAACAGTTGAACACACAATATCGCGAAGCACAGTTGTATAGAAACTAAGCCAGTATTTAGTCATTATTAGTCCATTACTAATTTTTTGTTATCGAGAATTATCGTATTGGTACCTTTAGAAAACTTTATCTTATCTTATTGTAGCATACAAATATAACTGCACAATTTACGGGATTTAAGTATCAAATAATAATATTAATAACTTCATACTAATTTTTCTATATATGCATTATATTTCAGAAAAATGCTAAAATATGCATAATAATTTGAAATGACCCAAATATGCAAAAATATGCATAATAATTTGAAATGACCCAAATATGCAAAAATATGCCAAATTTAATTTTGCATACCAACTCAAAAGATTAAGATTCAAATTTGTATCTTACCTAGCTACTTTTTAGTTTAATTTATAAAAATATGCAAATGCATACAATTCCGGGCCCTAATCATCATCTTTTTCAGAACCACTATCGTCCATAAACTCATTTAAAATATTTAACACATCATTATCAGTGATTTTTGTTGACATTTTAGTTAATAATTATAGCAAAAAAGTCTATTGATTTTAAGTAATGGCAAAAAATATTATTTACTAATCGTAGAGAATAAAAAAGATGACTTGTTCTCGCAATGAATCGATAGGAAATAAAAAATATAAATAATAATTTGTTGTTATATAGTTATTGTTTAGTATAAATGATAAATTTCAGAATTAAAATCGTAAATAGTCTTTCTATAAATATTTAATACAATTCATTGAGTTTAAAATCTTTTTGATAAAAATATGTCAATATTTATTATACACACCTTGTATCGTTATTATTTATAAACATTAATTTTAGCGTTCGGTTTCATTCATGCTCGTTTATTCATATATCAATTATATTATGTATGTGTTTAAACTAATTCGATGTTATATGTATATTTAAAAATATATTTAAAAATATATAATTAGATAAAGTTCACGAGAAATATCTAATATATTTCAAACAAAATTATAAGTCAATAGAAATTATTTTTGTAGACAAAATGCAATTGTTGTCATCAGTTAAAAAAAACGTGGAGCCAACCATTTATAATTTTTAATTTTCGATGTTGATAATTGTTACACTATCGATACTATCGATTGATGAAAATACGAAAAGTGTAGAATAAAAATTGAATTTAATATCGATGTCTAAAAATCATCACGCGCTTAACGCGTGATCCGTCTTCAATGAATAAAATACTGTAATACGCTCAGCGCGTTATTCGTCCTCAACGTATTTTTCTATTATTGTGTTTCGTCTCGAATGTGTTAATCAACCAACAAATAATAATTTGATTTTTGCAGAACAAAATTTATTGAATCTCACTTTGACTAATTTAACTGATTATGAACACTGATGAAGAAGTAGAAAACAGTGACCTTAAATGAAGCATTATAACATTTGGTCCATGTAAGCCAGTTATTGAATTTCCAAAAAATAATGATGGCAGAAAATTTTCTTCTTATTTCTATTTTGTTTCTGCACGGTCTGGTTCAAAAATACCTCGTTCTTGGTTATGCTATTCTACAGTTTTAAATAGAGCTTACTGTGAATCGTGTTGGTTGTTTGCTAATAGAAAAAGTACTTCTTTTAAGTCTGAATAGATACATGGAATCAATGATTGGAAACATTTATCTCAAAGCATTCAATGTCATGAAATATCAACTCAACACTTAGAATCAACAAATATACGAATCATATGGATGAAAAATAGAACGATGGATAAGGAATAAGGAATACAATATAGTAAAGAGGCTACATTTTCGAGAAATATTTTACTACGTTTGATTAAAATAATATTATTAACAGCGGAAATACTACCTTAAGAGAACATAGAGGAAAAATTGGATCTTAAGAAAAGTGTTCAGAAGGAAATTTTTACGTACAATTTATTTATTGGTGGAATTTGATCCAATTTTAAATAATCTAGTGAATAACCCTAAACACAAAATCAAGTACTGAAGTCCAGAATGAGTTAATTGAAATATTAGCTAATAAAGTTTGTGAAATAATTTGTGATGACATCAAAAGTCTTGTGGTTTTTTCAATAATATTGGATTAAACCCATGATATTAAAAAAGTGGACCAAATGAGTATTATTATACGTTATGAATTAGTTAACTATGAAAACAAGAAAATTGAAATGAAAGAATCGTTTTTGGGATTTTTTGTACTCGATAAACATCATGCTGTTGACTATGCAAACATTATTGACGTTTGGTCTTAATATCAATTAGTGTTTCGGGCAAGGGTATGATGGTGCAGCAGTTATGAGCGGACAGCTCTCAGGTGTTCAAACTTTAATTCAATCTGATTTTCCCAATGCTGTTTATATACATTATTGTGCTCATAACCTCAATTTAGTGATCTTAGATGCGGCAAAAAGCATTAGTAAAGTTCAGGCATTTTTTTTTTTTTTTAATATAGTTCAAGATGTTAACAACTTTTTTTTTAGTGTTAGTGCTAGTCCCCAGGGTGGTTCTCGGGCCTGGTACTGCCAGGGTGGAACGTCCGCTAACGACATCGGTCGACAGCGTGACGTGTGGGGTTGGGCTCCGTACGCCTCCGCTATAGGCCAGAGCGTTTGCATGATCCGGGGGGCGACGAAAAAGTCGTTCCACGGGCATAAAGGCCTAGGTCATCCCGTGGTGCGGGACCTCTCACCTAGGAGCCGACTCGTCGAATCTCCGGAGGACGGTTCTCGCGCCGATATTGCTCCACTCTGAAAAGTGGCTCGCCGCGTGGACGATGTAGTCGCCTGGTGCGTGCCGGGCCGCCTTGACCACTGTGAGGGTCCTGGCGGGCTGTCCCCAGGCGTGACCGGGTGGACCGGTATTAGGGAAATTGTGGTTTCGATACGGGCGCCGGTGGAAAGGCGCTCGTACCGACGGATCGGGGCTTCCTCGTAGCGGTAGATGTAAACTGCGCGGACTCGGGCCGCGATGGCTAACACAAATCCAACTCAACAATCGACTCCACCAAGAGAGGTAGCGGCTATGCGTCCGCAGCGGTGGCTGCTGATGGTAAACTAGTGGTATATATGCTAGCCTCAATGGCAGCGGGCACCAGTGTCAGCCGAGGTCCGCTCGCCGAAGAGGAATTTGATCGTAGTGAAACTCGGCGGTAGCAAACAAGGGTCGGATGTCCAGTTACGGTGTCCTCGGTTGCCATGACGGGCACCGGCCCGGGACGCATGAGTCATGAAGCGTTGAGGCGAACCTGCTCCAACGCGACCTTTCACGGGTTTGTGAAAGTGCGATTCGCGGATCGCGCAGTTAGAGAGTTAACCCAGCGACGTGTCTTCAGGGCACGCCGTCGGGTTTTTTTCTTTGACGGCGCCGGAATACCTCACTACAGCTCTCCTTGCTGAGGCCGGACTCGTCCGGCCCCTTGCTGGGTGAATCGTACCGCTGGGAGGCACTTGCGCCTCGGTCCCCCGAATAACATAACATATGGGGAATCTGTGCGCGACCACCGTCGCGCTAACGCGCTAGCGGGGGGTCGTCGTGGAGAGAACGGGAGGAACCGGAGCCCAGGGGGTCCCAGGATTCTGAGGACCCACGCCGCCCGAAAAGGGGCGAAGACGAACTGACTGAATACATCCGCGTGGCAAGGGCACGATCGAGGACGGCCCTGGATTTAGCTACCTGGGGACCGATAGAAACGACCTCGTGAGCGGGAGTCGGGCTAATAAGAGCATTAGACTGGGTCTGGGCTTGAGTGATTGGGTCCGGGGGTCCTCATATAGGAGGACGGGAACTGGATCTGACCTTCGCTGATTGGCCCAGGCGCGGGCAATTCGGTGACATGACTGTCGAACCCGGGATCGCCGATTGCAGCCTAGGTGTTCCCGGGAAAAATACCGGGGGGCCTCAAGACGACGCTACCTAAAAAGGGGTCAGAAAACCACCTATGAGATTAAAATCTTAGATGGGGGATAATCGACGATTCCGTTTGGGCGGACGAGGTGAGCTGCCTTTGACTGGGTGGTCGGACGCTGAGCATGGCCTTGTGGCCTGGCCCGGCGTTAGAGTCCTTGACTCCGCCCCGAATGAACGGAACGCCCCCTCGGTTTACAAGAGGGGTCCAAAGACTTGGTCGACACCGGACCTAGCAGACCCCCAAATACTTATAGATGGACAGGCTAACATGGATACCCCAAAGAACCTGGGACCGATGGAACGGGGATCTACCTGTTTGACAGGCCTCCTTATAGGGTAATCGCGGCGGGAAGCTGGCCGAAGGCTGTCGCGGTCGTCGCGAACCCTGCCATAGGAGTCCTCGCTCTTGGATATCTCTTTACCCCCCACTTGGTCGCGGCCAAGCTCAGGGTGGGAAAAATCAGTCTAACGGTTGTATCTTCATACTTCCATTTTTCTGACCCCACCCAGACACACACCGCCGCGCAAGGGTCCGTCCAGGACCAGATCCGCGGCGCCGTGCTTGTCTGTGCGGATGTTAAAGCATGGTCGACGGTGTAGCACGATGAAGTCTCGGATTACCGGGACGAAGTAATCGTGGAATTGATAAATAAAAAGGGCCTGTCCGTGCTGAACCAGCCGGACCAACCAAGGACGTTCATGAATAGAGGGTCAGCCAACCTGGACGTCACACTCGCGTCGCCCTCGGTAACGCGTAGTGTGACGGACTGGAGGGTCACACCCGAACTAACGTCGAGCGATCACAACGTGATCAGCTTCAAAGTTGCATGCAGCCAGAACGTGCTTCCAGCCACGGGTAGTTCCGTACGGAAACGATATTTATGGAAAAATACCGATTGGAAATCGTTCCGTAAGACCTTAAAAAGTTTAGCGAAAACACGGTCAGCCGAGCTCGGTCGCCCGGTCGTAGATCCCTGTGTGAACGCATTTTCGGAAGTGCAAACGGCTTGTGATACCCGCATGAAACGGGCCGTGGTCGGACGGCTGAAACCGCCTCTCTGGTGGAGCTCGGACCTTGGCAGCGAGCACGCCCGATTGGGACGCTGGAAGCGCAAACTGCGTGCAGAACGCGACGCGTTTAAAAAGAGAGCCTTAAGGAAGAAGTATCTAGACCTCAACCGGAGATATAACCGCGCTTGCTCCAAAGCTAGGTGGAAGGCCTGGTGCTGGTTCGTTACCGGCATCGGGAACGACGAGCCCTAGGGGCCCGTCAAAAAGTGGCTAAAATCCAAAGGAACATAGCCCTCGGAGAAATTACCAGCGTCCATCAAGAAAATGAACGGAACATTTACGTGTTCGCTTAAGGAGACCTGCGAGAGACTCATCGAACAACTGGTCCCTGAGGATAGTGTTATGGGCTACGAGATATGCTAATAATATAATATGTAATATTGCTAGAGGTGTTAGCAATAGTAATATAGATATATATATATATTTATGTGGCCTATATTATGATATATACGAGATAGTAGATTCATATTTCTATGAACCTTATTTTTAAAAAACATCATAATAAATATATCAAATTAGCAGTCTTGTGACGAGGTCGTTTAAATGTGTTATTGCATTTTCACGAATTGCTTAATGAGAACAGAAGACATCCTGGAGATTGTTGTTTTCAAATGTGGAAACAATTCCAAGAATTAATATGAATTAGAAGGTTGTCGACTACAACAACAAGAGACTTCTTTGTATATAAGGGTGTTGCGTCCCTTATGTCAACGTCGATTCATATATCAACGTAGAAAGTGAAATACTAATGTTTGCAAGTTAAAAGATTAAGTCTTTATTTAATACAATTAACTCGTACAAAAATACAATTTTATAAGCACAAGATGGTGTAAGCGGTGTTACGACCTGCCTCTGAGCGTCTCGAATATCCCTAACCGTCTGCTGAGCTCTTGCCCTGGTCTCCCTTATATATGGTTAACCGTCAAGAGTGGTGACTTCCGATGACCTAAAGGAGCTCTCTAAATTAAATGTATTATTCAGTTGGGTGCCTTTCCTGCGATTTCATCGATTCTAAGAAGTCCAAAACGTGTGATATAGTCTTAATTGTTATATTAAATAGTACAATGTTAACACTATCGTTTACTCATCATTTCTGAGAAGTCCAGGACGTGTGACCATGTCTTAATTATTATATTAAATATCACGATGTGCAGGTGTTCGCCCTATCCGTTGGTACTACACTGTTTGAATATATTATTCCATCGGTATACACATCACCTCTCCGTATAATATATATGTGTTGAAATAACACGGTACGTAACATAGCCAATAAACAATTTAACCCAGATAATTACAAATTCAAATTTGTTTCTTTAAAAACTTTTATAAGGCACCAGTTAGCGCAAACTAATTCATGGATCTATTATACCCAACTGGAAATAGGTACCATCACTTGCACACATCCATAGAAAATTTCAAAAATTGATATTGAAGGCGTAGGCAGACTATCTATACCCCCATTTTGTAAAATTATTCTCAGAAACTCTATATTATTTTCTAATAATATAGCTAGTAGAGGTATTGATTCAGATATTATATCAGAAAATTCTAAGAACGAACATATTTTCAGAATTAGTCAAAACAATTATTCCTCAGAACCTCACTAATAAAATCCTAATTCGAAATTTAAACCAACTGACTATTAAAGCAGTTGAGTTAACCTCTTGATGCATATTGGCACTTATGATGCCATGTTAAAAAACCGTCTTTATACTTAATACATTTTGTGAACATAATGTTTTCTTTAACTGGGTACACTGTGTAAATGTAAATCTGATGATATCATATCATAAATCTTGGCTCCATTTTGTTATCACTAAGAAAAATGCATTTCAAAATTTGATACCCAAATACCGCTGTACATCATTATTTTGCACTTTTATATATCTTATAACTTCACTAATAATTGAGATAAAAGTCTCATTTTTTTTTTTTTTTTAAATGATTGTTAATGAATATAAAATAAGTTAAAACATTTATCGTTTGATTAATAACATCCGCATCGCCGCAATATCGTTTTACTTACCCGTCATCATATGTGCCACTGTGTATGTGAGAAACGATTTACGAATAGTATTATATTTTACAAATATTACGTTTTTTTATATAATGACTCGTAAACAATTAAAAACTGAAGATATAGAACGGTTTTTGACTTGTGATCCACCAAATGGATCTGAGTTTGGTGATTTAAGTGATGAAGTCACTGAAATCACTGATAAAATTTTATTTGATAGTCATCTAAATAAAAATGACGATAGTTTATCTGATGATTTGTGTTTTGATCAAGACGAATTTGAACGTTTGATGGATGAGTATGATAATGATGCATTGGATTATCAGGTATTTGACAAAGTATTTGATCAATCATTTGTTGTAAAAAAACCAAACGTACCAAATATTGAAGAACCATCGACAAGCAGCGATGTAGTTAGTAATAAAAAAATAGTAAAACAAAAAAAAGATATAGGTAAGAATAAATTGAACAAAACAAGACCAAGCGCAAATAAAATAATTAAAAAAAAAAATAAAACAGTTAAAGGACCATCCAACTCAAAAAATTTTCTCAGGCTTAAATTAAAGTACAAACTTTGACGAAAAAAATGATACCACTAAAATTCGTTTGTGACTGTCCGTTCGCTAGTTAAGCGATTGCGCGTGCATTGCGCGTGACGTCACGGATTCGTTCGTCGCGGCGGCGGCCATATACAATACACGGCAATGTTTATCCGTTTTTGGTTTAACGTAAAGTAACTGCTAATAAACTTATATTTTTTCGAATAACCTAACCAAATGTATTTAAGAGTACCTCATAATCTTTCTATTCGTATAATTGTATTGAATTTTGGTTTAATATTAATGAAATAATAGCAATTATATTATAATACACATCTCTAATATTAGCTACGAGTTAAAACAATATAGACAGTTTAGGCGTCAGAAATCCGTACACGATGTCACGATCGTCAAAACAATATTACACACGTTTACTGCAGCAGCAGTATGGTAAATTCATAATATAATTTATTTAAGTGTTATTTTTGTCTACACTATTAAACCAAAATGTGATATAATTATACGAATGGAAAGATTATGAGGTACTCTTGAATACATTTGGTTAGTTCATTCGAAAAAAAATAAGTTCATAAGCAGTTATTTTATGTTAAACCAAAAATGGATAAATATTGCCGTGTATTATATATGGCCGCCGCCTCGGCGGACGAGTCCGTGACGTCACGCGCAATGTCATAAGTCACAGTAACTAGCGAACGAATAGTCACAAACGAATTTTAGTTGTATCATTATCTTAGTTAGACTCTATTCTATTTATTAGAGTAAAAAAATAATTATTGATTTTTGAGTTGGATGGTCCTTTAAGTTCCAGAATAAAAAATTCCCCGAAAAATGGTATGCTGGTAAAGATAATAAATTCGAAGGAAATATACTGGAGTTTACAGGTGAAGTAATTGCAATCGATGCTTGTACACCATATGGTTATTTCATTCAACTTTTTACCGATTCCATTTTTTGAACTGATTGCCCGAGAAAGTTGTCAGTATGCAGCTCAAAATTATAACTTTACGTATAGCGTTACTCCAAATGAAATTAAAGCATTTATCGGTATAAATATAATAATGACTTATATAAAGTATCCAAATACTAGAATGTATTGGTCAACAAGTGAGCCTGCTATTAGAATGGATCAAATTGCAAATGTTATGGCAGTTAATCGGTTTAGTCTAATCAAACGTTATTTGCAATTTAATAATAATTTGAGTGTTCCAAATTTAAATGACCGTTATTGGAAAATTCGTCCGGTATTAGATATACTTCACAAAGCATTTCATGATTGTGCTTCACCCTCTGAACATGTTTCAATCGATGAAATGATGATACCGTTTAAAGGTAAAAGTCATCTGAAACAATATATCCAATCAAAACCCAAAAAGTGGGGGTTCAAAATATGGGTGCAAGCTAATAGCAACGGATATGTAAATTGTTTCGAACCATATCAGGCATCAACAGTTAATCGAACCAAATATGGTCCAATAGGTGATTCCGATTTAAATTTATGTCATGCGCTCCATGGTAAGAATCATAAGTTATTCATGGATAATCTTTTCACCTCGTTGGCTGTAATTAGACAGTTACGTTCTTTTGATATTTGGGTAATAGGAACTATGAGAATAAACAGAGTTCTGCAAATACAAAGTTCTCTAGTACCAGGTAAACAACTTCAACGAGGTTCATGTATTATCGCTACGTCAAAAGACAACATTACAGTTGTGCGTTGGATGGATAAGAGGGAAGTTCATATGATTTCTTCATATGCCGGTGCTGAACTAATTTATGAAATAGTACGTTACGATAAAAAAGAAAAAAACTAGAATCAAAGTTGATAGACCGTTTTGTATTCAAGAATACAATAAATTTATGGGGGGAGTAGATTTTATGGATCGTCTAATATCCCATTATCCACATGGTTTTAAAAACAAAAAATGGTATCTCCGGATATTTTTTCAGTTTATGAATATTGCAATTGTGAACGCGTGGATCTTATATAGACAAAGTCCAAACCCTCCATTATCTCTACTTCGTTTTAAAGCTTCAATAGCTACTAGCTTAACACAGCTTAACTCTACAGCTGAACGTCTAAAAAAAAGAGGTCGTCCTTCAAGTTCACCATGTGCTTCGCCCGCTCCATTTACCAACCCAAAAAAAACTAAAACGGCTCAAAATAAAACTATTCCCGAAATCAAATATAATGGCGAAAATCATTGGCCAAAAAAATATGAAATGAAAAGTGCTCCCAGGTGTCATGATGACCAATGTAGAAGTCGAACACGCTATAAATGTTCAAAATATGATGAACCAGTATGTTCAGAATGCATGGAAAACTTCCACACTCAAAAATAAAAATAATAAAAATAACGGCAGTAACGACAGTAATTATATAATTAAGTTTAATTATTCATTATATAATAATAAACTAAAATTGTTATAATAATTTATGTTTGTTACAATTTATTACCAAAAGGTATAAATTATTTATTTTGATTTTGATTAAGTTTTTTGGTTATGTCTGTAGTATTTAGTTTGTTATTTATGAAAATTGTAATAAATAATTTAATTACAAATTTAAAAATGGTTTTATGTTATGTGGTGTATACTGTATTGCAACTACACCAACACCACACTACTGTAATGTAGCACAACCACACATGCACGATGGCACAAATGATGCCATGTGTTATTTTTAAAATTTTCTTATATTAAATTATTCTAAAATTTTTTTTTATATTTTTCCTAATTATTATAATACATTTGCATATAAAATAAAAAAAAAAATTGGTTAAAAAAAAATGTGTGCATCAAGAGGTTAAACAAACTTTCACATACCATGACTGAATCTTTAATTCTCAACATTAAAATTCACGTAATTGTTATTTTTTTTTTTTGATTTAAGGCTTCAACGATAATGGTAATTAGCCTACTTAAATCATACAAATATATAGTGGATAAAATACATTAAAAATATATAGATGTTGGAAAGTGAAATTATGTACATTGTGTATTGATATTTGATGTATTATAATTTATTAAATATTTTAATTAAACGAAGAAAGATGAGAAAGGCTTTGGTGTTGTCTTCATTGAGTGCTTGTTGAATTGTTGAAGGGTTTTTGAGGATCCCTTGTGCGCCGAGAATTTTGGGCAGTCGATCATTATGTATTTAATTGATAGGTTAACTCTGCATGTTTCGCAAGTAGGTTTAGGTTCTTTGCTGATTAAGTATGAATGGGTTAGATGGGTATGTCCTATTCTAACACGGGTAATTACTACTTCCTCTCTTCTGGAAAGGTCTGGGGGATTTTTCCATTTCTTGACATAAGGTTTTATGTTTCTAAGTTTATTTGATGAAGGTAAGCTACTCCAATTATTTTGCTACAGTTCTAATGTTTTCTTTTTTATGTTGTAGATTGCATCTGATGTAGTTATTTTGTTGATTTTTGTAGAGGACGGAGATAATATTGCTTCATTAGCCATAGTGTCTGCTTTTTCATTCCCGGGGATTCCCACATGTGAGGGAACCCACATGAAAGAAATATTTCTGTTTGTTGTAGAGAGCGATTTTTGAATTAATTGCACAAGTTTGTTCTTAGGGTAAGGGTTAATAATTGAAATGATAGCACTGAAAGAATCGCTGAGTATGATGGTATTTTCTAAATTTGAGGAAACGACAATCTTTACTGCTTCATATATAGCATACGTTTCAGCTGTATATATACTTGTGTAGTGAGGTAAAGAGAACATATAATTATCATTTTCGGTGATTACTGCGAATCATGTTCCATTTATATTTTTAGAAGCGTCAGTGTATATTTGTGTATGATTTGGATAATGCTGGGATATTATTTCGCTAAAAATATTTTGTAAAGTTTTATTAGGGGTATGTTGTTTATTGTGTTCTGAAAGTTGAGTATTAACATTAACTGTCCAGAGCCAAGGGGGAATAGAGGATGTTACCTTGCTTAATGTTAGGTCATGAAGATGTAGATTTTCACTAAGAATTTTAAAGTTTTCGTATATGGTACATTGATTTGGTATTTGATTGGCAGGGAGTGTGTTATGGAATATGATGTTGGATATATGATTTGGTAAACATTTAATTTTTTATGTTTATTGTAGTATGCTACTTTGCCGTCTTCGTTGGAGTGGTAATTCACCAGCATTACACATAATACTATCAATAGGCTTGTCCTAAAAGCTCCTGTTACCAATCTGATACCTTGGTTATGCACTGGATCTAGTGATTTGAGCGTTTTAAAATTGGCTGAATTATAGATAATCGATCCGTAGTCAATTAAAGAAAGGATAAGTGCTTTGTAAATTAAAATAAGTGTCTTTGTCTCTGATCCCCAAGTGTAATTTCCTAATATTTTAATTGTATTCATTCTTGTCAAACATTCAGTTTTAAGTTTTTTTATATGAGGTTGCCATGATAATTTTTCGTCGAATATGAGACTAAGGATGCGAATATTTCTTGAGAAACTTAACTGTGTGTTCATGAAGTTGAAAACTGGTTGTTGAATGTTCTTATTTTTATTGAAAATTAAACTTTGAGTTTTGGTGGGAGAAAAAGAAAAACCTGTTTCTAGAGACCAGTTTGAGAGAGTGTCAAGTGCTTGTTGTAAAAACCGTGTCGTTGATACGATTTGAGAGCCGCTGCAGTAGATATTGCAGTCGTCTGCAAAAAGGATATATTTGACCGGTTTGGAGAGATTTTTTACATATTTCGTTTATGGCTACTAGAAAAAGAGTAACACTCATTACGGATCCTTGAGGGAGACCGTTAACAGTGTTGTGGATTGTTGA